GGGGGGGGGGGGCAGCACCAGGACAGAAGCCCCAGGGGGGACGCGACCGTTACGGCCCCCCGGGTCCTGCCCCCCGAGCAGGGGCTTCGGCCTCTGCCGCGGAGCCCTGGACCAGCCCGGGCCTCAAAAATCTCGAGATTCGGGTAACAAACCCCGAATAAACCTAAGGAATTTGCCCCGAATAAACCCTTTCTTTTGTTGCTTTTCGTGTCGTGTGTCAAACGCTTATCTGCCGTTCACAGTGACGGCTCCAGAGCCGTCCGCGGTGTCCCCATGGGCAGGGGCTTCGGCCTCTGCCGCGGAGCCCTGGACCAGCCCGGGCCTCAAAAATCTCGAGATTCGGGTAACAAACCCCGAATAAACCTAAGGAATTTGCCCCGAATAAACCCTTTCTTTTGTTGCTTTTCGTGTCGTGTGTCAAACGCTTATCTGCCGTTCACAGTGACGGCTCCAGAGCCGTCCGCGGTGTCCCCATGGGCCCCTCAGAGCGCCCAGCTGACTTTCTTTGCTGGGCTTCTGTTTCACGTGTTTTTTAGATTTCTATTTTTTTCCTTTTTTTTTTTTCCTGCCTTGATGACATAAGCGGAACTCAAAGCGTCTCCCTGTGGTCGCTTATCCCAGTTAAGCGTGACCCCGTGGGTGTGTGTGCGTTACCGGAGGCCTGGACGGAGGGTTTGCGCTGCGTTGCCCCTCTCTGTGGGTGACAGTCGCTTCTCCAAACCTGCCCTGGGCCCCGCTGGTCCAAACACGCAGCTTTATTTTATCTCAGCAGCACGGCTCTGTGCAGAGTGTTTTGGTTCATGCGCCCGGGGTGTTTTCGACCCAGAACCAGGACCCCAGCCGCTCCATTTGTTGTGTTGCCACAGCGAGGTGGAAGGGATTGTCGCCAATTCCCTTAAAATCCAGGGTGGAGCGAGCAGAGCCCTTCCCGAGCGAGCTGTGACTGCCAGATCTGTTCTTTCCAGGGTTTTGAAACACTCCGGGGCAAAAATGAAAGGGAATTTTCATGCTCTGGGCTTAAGGTCCTGCTTGTCGAGGGGTTGTGGTAAACCCGAGGTCAGGCTCTTAGGCTGTGTGTTTGGTTTCCTCCTCCTCTGCAGAGCACCTTGAGTGATGCCCAAGAAGTTCCAAGGTGAAAACACCAAGTCGGCTGCTGCCCGCGCAAGGAAAGCTGAGGCAAAGGCAGCAGCCGATGCCAAGCGGCAGCAGGAGCTGGAAGATGCCTACTGGAAGGATGAAGACAAACACGTGATGAGGAAGGAGCAAAGGAAGGTGAATTGCTAGACAGGGAGAACGGGAACTTTCTAGCTGAGCTTATGCTAAGCCCTGGAAATTCAAGTCTACTTAGAGTATTGCTTCTGTTCCCCTGTCCCAAAGCTGCAAGTGTATCTCTGACCGTTGTCCTGCGCTTAGTTTTCCTGCAAAAAAAAAGCTGGAGCTGGTGTCTTCTCTGGGAGCTAAAAGAAGCAGAGTGTGGGAGTAAGTGTAAGCTTTGATGCGTAATTCAAAAATCCTGTCGATCTTAGAGCTGTGTTCCCAAGGGAGACAGAAAAAGCCTTAGTGTCGGAATCACTTAAAATTGAATTAAGTGATCAAAACCGTACCTTATAGGGCTTGATTGTTTGACTTGGCAGGTCTTCATCTTTTTTTTTTTTCTCTGAGTTTGTCAGTGTCATAAATGGAATTTATGGGGTTACTGTTCTGTGCTGCTCGCTGTGTGTGTAAGCTCTTTGGTGCTTGGTGAACTTTGTTGCTACTTGAGCTCAGCAACCAAGCAGCGGGCAGGAAGCCAGCGTGTCCCTGTGACCTTGATAGCTTTGTGCTCTGCGTGTTTGTTTGAATTCACCCCCCAATACGCGTCTTGACACTTGGAATTCGGAGCCCTGCGTGCTGTTCCCAAACGCGGTCTCGTAATGCTGCCTAATTATTTCCTGGAACAAGGTCTTATTACTGTTCTACTTAAGGTCTTGCCAACACTGACCTATTTTAATGGTTTTCCAAAACAGCCCCTTGCGGGCGAGGGGCTTTGGAGCTTTGCATGGGCAAAGTGTCTCGTGAGCCGGATTGTTGGCCGCAAACCTTAAGTTCCACAGGAACTTAAGGAAAAATTTCTTGACAGTGAGGGTGCCAGAGCACTGGAACAGGCTGCCCAGAGAGGTTGTGGAGTCTCCTTCTCTGGAGATCTTCAAAACCCGCTTGGACGCAGCCCTGTGCCACGTGCTCTAGGTGACCCTGCGTGTGCAGGGGTTGGACTAGGTGACCTCGAGAGGTCCCTTCCAACCTTGAGCATTCTGTGATTCTATGATTCTAACCTGGCGGAGCCTCGGGCTGCAGTGGGGAGAAGCCAGCGGTCGGCACCGCTGCTCCGTGCTTCGCTGCTTGTCCCGCAGGATTTCTGGCTCTTCCCAAAAGCAGGAAGGGCCTGAGAGGAGGGATGGGAGCGGCGCCGGGGACGCGCCGTGCTCGGCAGGGCGGTGCGCGCCCGGCCCCGCTGCGCCCTCCTCGCGGCTCTTGCAGCACGTCGCCGCGCGTTGAGCAACTGCTCCCTGCCCGCCCTGTCCTGACGTCCCCTGGGTGTGCGGGGCGGCTCTCCAGGCCTGGAGCAGCTCCGTGGAGCGCGGGAGCCGTCCCAGCGGGGAAGGGATGCGGGTGTCCTGCCCTCCTCATCCAAGTCAAAGCACTGAGCGGATTCCAAGTCTGGAATACGGAGCTGTTTGGCGGTGGTGCTGGCATGGGGGGAGCCACGTGCTGCAGGGGGGCCCCGTGGTGACAGCGCGGAGGAGGATGTGACAGCAGGAGCAGGAGGGTGTTCTCGGGTGTTCTCGGGTGTTCTCGGCCTCGCCGGTCAGCGCTGGAGCGGCTCTTCCCCGGCTCCCCAGGCGATGGCAGTAACACATTAACTGCTCTGGAAAAGCACCAGCGCCTCCGAATTCCTGCGTGAGGAGGAGGAGGGAGCGAGCGAGCGCTCTGGGGACATTACCCAGCGGGATGTGTGTTGAAAGCAGAACACGCGGGTCCCCTTTAATCCCCTTGCTCCCCGCAGGTGCCCAGCAGCTCCTCGGTGAAATCCATGGGAATGTAACCCGCGATTGCCGCCGCCGCCACCGTTCTGGGCTTCGGTGGCCCCGCGTGTGGCAGTCCGGTCTGGCTGAGCGCCGGTGACACGCGTCGCATGGCGCAACATCAACGTTTGGGTGTGGGGAAGCTCAAACTGCAGCGCTTTGCTCATGGCATCTTCATCATCATCGCGTGGTGACTGGCCTGTTCCTTGAGCTGGGTTTCCACTTATTGGTTTTTAGTGTCTTTTAACACCCCCCTGGCAGGGGCTGAGATGGTTTTGGCTAACAGAGGGTGACTTGGTGGCTCTGTGATGCAGAAAGGAGCAGCTGGGCTCGTGTCGCCAGCCTGCAGTATGTGCATCCCTGCTCCAGCACAAGTCAGCTTGTTACCTTCCCGGGAGAGCTGAGGCTGGAAAGCACAAAATGTGCTTTGTTTTGTCGAAATGCTCAGGGTTTTACGCAGATAATGCTTTTCTCTTAACGCCCAGGTATCTCCCGCCATCCTTCCTTCCCGCTCCTTCCTGTGCAGAGTTGGAGGGTGACGCTCCTGGCTCGGTGCATGTGTCTGTGCAATCAGCTCAAGCGGCTCCGGTGGTGGAATCGCCACGGTGAGGGTGCCAGCCCGGTCAACGGGCCGGGACGACCCGAGGAGCCTCCACGCGGCACCCAGGGCTGGCCGTGGCCGCAGCCCCGTGCCCAAAACCACCTCGCGCGGGGTGAAATGTCGCTGTTGCAAGGACGCGGGCTCATTCCCTGTCTCATTCCCAGACAGGGGACGTCCGTGCCGAGGGCGGAGCGGCCCTTTCACCCATTCCCGCTGCAGCTTCCCGGGCTCCTTGCCGAGTGCCCTGGCTTGGGAGACTCCAGGAAAACGGTTTCTTGCAGCTGCTCGAAGCCCCTCGCCCCTTTGCCCAGCCCCGCGGCGCTGGCCGGGCCGTGTTGCTGCCCTGCTCTGGAGGGCTCTGCTCCATGGCAATGGCCAAGAGCAGCCAAAGGGAGCCCACGGGAGCAAGGAGGCTTCCCGTGCTCCTGTCTGAAAATTCCAGGGAAAGACTCAGGCTAAATGCAAAGGACTCGGCCCGCGGGACAGCAGCCTGCTTTGTGCTGGAGTTTCATGTCTTTCTTGTTCCTGCTAAGCTCTGTTTTGGGCTATGGGGTGCCAGGCTCTGCGTGCTGGCAGGGCCCAACCGCAGTGGTGTCACAGGCTGGCGAAGGGCGATTTTTTTTATTTTTTTCTCTCTCCTTCTCCTCTGATTCAGTTCGGAAATACTCAGCTGTGAGCACCAGCTCTTACTCAGATGAAATGTTAAGCAGATCAAATGACTCTCCTCTTTAGAGGACGTTCCTGTAGTACGGGCTTCCCAGCACTGAAATCCAGTGGCTTGAAGGAGAAACACCAGGAACGGAGCGATGCAGCACCCGATAACACAAGGCCGACCCCACAACAAACCTCCCTGGCCCTGCTGTGGCATTGCCCGGGTTTCCTGTGGGCACAAGAAGGGTGTTTGCTCCTCGCCGAGAGCCCCGTGGGTGCTTGGACAGGCTCCACATCCCTTGGGGACCTCTCTCCTGCCGACTGCGTCGCGTTCTGCATCGCTCCGTGCCCAGAGGTTGACTGGGGGCTCTGCTGCTTCCGACCACTCGCCCTCGCCTGCTCTCCTTCCCTCTAGCAGGCAGGAGGCTGTTCTGAAAGCCAACAAATTGTTCCGTGCTGGGGCTGTCCTCTGCAAGCTAGAAACGAGCATGTTAAAATACAGCTCCTCATGAACAGAAATGTCATAGAATCATAGAATGCTTAGGGTTGGAAGGGACCTCTAGAGATCATCTAGTCCAACCCCCCTGCACACACAGGGTCACCTAGAGCACGTGGCACAGGGCTGCGTCCAAGTGGGTTTGAAGATCTCCAGAGAAGGAGACTCCACAACCTCTCTGGGCAGCCTGTTCCAGGGCTCTGTCACCCTCACTGTTAAGAAATTTTTCCTTAAGTTCCTATGGAATTTTTGATGTTTCAGTCCAGCTAAAGAAATCTCATCCCCTGCTTCTTCTAGTGTAGCGAAGTCGAGTGAGAAAATTCCTCGTTTCCCTTCCAGCTTTCTAATAGCTCAGGTACGTTTCATGTAGAGAACCCCAGGCCTCCCTTTCATCGGGACACTTAAGCTGATTGATTGCGCTGGCACAAAGGGTGAGTCTGGTTTGTCCCAACCTGAGAAAAGTTTTCCAAAATGACTGTTTTGGAGTCAGAGAGAGAAATTACGCGTGTGCTGCAAGAGAAATCCATGTGGAGCCGAGACCTCACGGCCAGGACCTGCACGGAGGCACCTCGTATCCGCAACCTCGGCTCCGACGGGGCTGGAGAGGCTTCCCCAAAGGACACAGTTTGACCTCCGTGTTACAGCAGCCTGTTGGAAAAGCCACCCGGAGCGGCCTTGGGACGCTGACGTTTTCAGGGTTTTGTGCTCAAAACCCTGTTTTTTTGCCCCATGGCTCCGTTTGTGCTTTTGAACACAAGGGCCGGCGCAGAGCAGGCTGGAAAGCGAGGGCTGTGGGGCAAACCCGAGCGTGACAAATTAGTAGTGGTGCCGGCTTATTTATTTTCCATAAATAGAAACTCAATTATAAATGCCAGAGAGTAGCATAGTCCAGTGGCTAGAGAAGGGAGCTGGAGGAGTAACCAGAGGTGCTCTGCAGCATCAGGTGCAGGAAGGCAGCTCTGCACCCTGCTTGCATCTCCGTTTCCTCCCCGCTAAGTGGATATATCCTATCGGGAGATTTTTAGTTGAAAAGAGCTAAAAGCAGCAGAGCAGTATCCTTGAATTTCTGCACTGTCAGATCATCATCCCAGATGGGGTTTTGTAGAGGGAAACAGACTGCTGAGCTGGCTGCCGTGTAGGACAGTTCTCCTGTAATAAGCAGGGGTAAAAGATAAGCTCCTCTAACTATAAATAACATTTCTGGGCTGGCGTGTCCTGCTCTCCTCCCTTAGGTCATTAGGACGTGTGTTTCCACCCTCCATCGCTCTCCCGGATTACGCAAACCGCATCCCAGCACCTTGCGACCGTGCTCCTTGTGCCAGCAGTTTCCTCACGTTGCCTCATTCGGGCGGGAAGGGGCCGGTTTCTTTTAGCATTAATCCACGTTCCGGCCACGGCAGCCGTATCCCGCTGTATCCATGACTGCTCCCACGCTTGCTCATCCCCCTGTTAACATCCCGCGCGTCGGCATCCCGGGTTTTATTGCAGGAGCTCTTGCAGATGGCGCTGGGATGGGGTTTTTGGGGTGGGATGGAGTTGCAGTCCCCACGGCGGGTCTCGGGGTGCAGAGGGGAGTGCGCATGGTGCAATCCAGGCTGGCTGCTTCCCTGCCCTCCTGGAGCTGCCTGGC